GCCTCAGCCTTCGCCGCCTCCGCCGCTGCCGCCGCCGCCGCCGCCTGCTCCCGCCCGCGCGCGGCGGGATGGACGATCAATCCAGGATGCTGCAGACTCTGGCCGGGGTGAACCTGGCCGGCCACTCGGTGCAGGGGGGCATGGCCCTACCGCCTCCCCCGCACGGCCACGAAGGGGCGGACGGCGACGGCAGGAAGCAGGACATTGGCGACATCCTCCACCAGATCATGACCATCACCGACCAGAGCTTGGACGAGGCGCAAGCAAAGTTGGTGTCGTCTCATTAAGCATCTTTTGTGTGTGCGCGGGAGCCGGGCCCGCTGCCGAGTCGTGGTCCGGGTGGCGCCCGGGGCAGGGGCCTCAGCTCGGGTGGGAACTTTCTCTGGCGCCAGCCGCCGACCGGGCCTGGGGACCCTTGTGACGCCCCGGGACAGGGGCCGCACTCCGCAAAGTTGCTCCCGGGCCAGACGGACTCGGCGGCGCGCAGGCTCGCGGTTCCGCGTCTCCGGTGTCCCCGCGTCCGCCCCCTCCCGCGGATTTAAACCTCCCGCCGGACCTCCGCGCGCAGTGCCGCCCCGCCAGGCCTGGTCCAGCGGCAGGGACGCGCAACTTTCCGTGGGCCGCGATCGCTGCGTCCGCTCCCCTGTCCGCGGGATGACCCCATCGCGTGTGCGGCCGGCGGCCGTATTCCGGCCGGGCGCCGGGCTAGGGGCGGTTCCGGACGGGTCCGGCGCGGGCAGCCAAGTTTTCGGGGAGGGAGGCCGGCTGACAAACTTTGCCGAGCTGTCACCCGAAGGTCGGCCGCCGCAGGCCAGCCGCCCGCAGTTGCTTCCCCGCCGAGGGGGCGCGGTAGCACCGCCGCTCCGGTCCGCACCCCGAGATAGCCGCCGCGGTGCCCTGGAGCGAAGTCCCCGCGTGGGTTCGCGCCTGCGGTTGCTGAGGTTGCTGCCTGCGGGGCATATGGGTCGCGCCGAGTCCTGGCTGGCCCTTTTGCCACCCGAGCTTACCAGCTGTTTAGAACTAGTCAACTTGAGTTTTGTTGACTTCCTGTGGTTCACAAGAGCTTTCCAAAATAGGGGACCGGTATTAAATCTTGGGTTTAACTTAAAGGAAGGCGCCATATTATTCCATAGGTGATGCTAATACCTTTGTGTTTTGCTGTTTTTTTTTTTTTTTTTTTTTTTTTTTTATAGGAAACATGCCCTGAACTGTCACAGAATGAAACCCGCGCTCTTCAGCGTCCTGTGTGAAATAAAAGAGAAAACAGGTAAGATGCTGCGCCCCGCAGTGGGCCTGTAGACCCCAGAGGTGGGCTTGGAGCTACTCCTACACTCTCCAGTTGAGAGCTGCTGCTTTTGGGCACCGCCATCTTTGCTCATTCTCTCCTTCCCACCTCCTGATCTTGAGAAAAAAAACCTGTAATAAATCTGAAGTCGATTTCTCTATTCTGCTCCTTGTGCAAAATGAAGTGTAGGTGTGGAGCAGGCCTGGTCGCCGCCCTTAGTAAAGGCCATCCCTGGCTGCAGGGATGGAGGGGGGCTCCGGAGCACCAGAAGCTCTATCCTGTCTCCTTTTGCCTTGTTTGTGTTAGTTTTTAAAAGGGGCAGTGGAGATTGGATGCCTGCGACAAGTCCTGAGTCCCCGGGAGAAGCATCGCCTAAACTTTGTTTTACTGAGCCTTAAGCTTCTTCTCTGCTGATGGACGAATAAGTGCAATTGAGCAGACTTTAGCAGCATGTTTGAATGAGTGTTGTAAGTGGAAAGACTACTTTTGGTCATACAGTAAGGGTAGTGGTGCGTTTAGACATATATAATATATTACATCTGTTAATAACTTACATTAAATTTTATATCCTGAAGTCATTACACTTGTAATTGTGTTTAGTTTATCAAGTAGAAAAAGGTCCACAAATACAGGTTAAACAGTTTTGAAGTTCAGGGCAGTAGATGTGTGGCAAGAGAATGCAGGTTCATACATATTAGGCAAATTTGTGACAGTTCATTTCAGTTGAACTTTTTTGTCTGGCTTTTTGAATTGAAGATATTTTAGTCTTGAGGTGATGGTAAGGCTCAAGTGTGAATAGAAATTTCATTTAAATGTTTTAATTTGTATTTGGCAGGATCTTCCCTGTATGTGAAATAAGGTACATTAACAAAGGTTTACTTTTTTTTTTTGTTGTGTCTTGTATTGGGTATGTGGTATTTTAAAGTTGCAGTTTTTTAAAGTTCAAGCAAAGAAGAAAAAGTTAAATTCCAAGATACAGTAGTATCCAGCTGATTTTATTTAATGTGATTGTGTTTAACTGTACAAATATGGTTAGGTTAACAGCCAAATTGCTGTCCTTTTAAGCAGTTTTTTTTTTTTTTACTCTAATTCTAGTTCTTTCCTAAAAGTAATCTAGATTATTGGATTATTGCTGTTAAGTATATATGCTAAACCATAATTTATAGCAAATAAAAAGCTTAAAAAGTACTTTTTCTGTTTTCATTCACGTAGTGTGGATGATGTCTTAATGTTAAGTGATTCTTTTAAAGTTGTATTTTGCATTTGGAAAACTACAGTCATTGAAAATTAGTAATAACATTCTTTATTAATTTTTAGCTTACTTTATAGTGTGTGACTTAAAATGGTAAATTTTATCTGACTATAAAATAAGATATCTAGCATAACATCTTGAAGATTCTTAGTTGAGAAGCCCAAAAGTGGGTAACTCATTTAATTTTGTTGCTTAATGTCCAAGGATTTTCTTGCTTGGGGCTCTCTTCAGTTTTTGCTGACAGTTAAGCACTGGGGTATTGACTATATTGTGAATATTAAGATTGATTCAACTTTATACAGCACTGTATTATTAGGGAGAGAGGTACCTTTCCCTTCTGTCTCCCCTCATGATTTCATTTTTTTTTTCCTTTATTAAAGTTTTGGCCTAGTGAGCTTGGGAACCAAACTGACATTTCATGTAGCAGTAGGCAGAATTCAATTAATAAATGAAGGTCCTCTAGTAATTTATTTGCATAGGATTTACACCATTCTGAAAGGAAAATATAGTAAACCATATGTCAAAGGTGAGTTACAAAAGAAACAGCATCTAGGTTACTAGTAGAGAAGAGCTGTGCGGTAGAGCTGTTGCTATTTAAGAAGTAAGAGGTAGCTGACAAAAGGAATTTTTCTGTTTTGAAAATTATTTCTAGGGCTTTCAGTGATAACTTGTAAATTAGATTTTCTTTTTGTGCTTTGGCCAGCGGATCCAAGTTTATGTGTAATGTTATCTGTTTTGTAAAAAGCCAACAGCCGACAAAGAGTAAAGCATGCAGTCTGGGCAGAAGCATCTCCCTGCCCGGCTCTCTAAGCTCAAGAGGGACGGGGATTTAAGTACTGAGTGATTGATGGGGTTGAAGCTCTTTCTCTTCTCTCCTTTTTCTAGTGACTATCTTATCCATAGCTCTACCTAACCCTCCAAAAGTAGTCTTAGAAAGAAACAGGCTGGCCAGACTCAGAGCCCTCAGTTTGAAATAAAACAGCTGGGTAGATGTTAGTGCCATCAAAGCAGAGTAATCCGGCAGCAAATTCCAGAGCCCACCCCTCATCTACTTCCTTAGTCACGCTTGAGAAACACCACAAACTTAAAGAAAATAAGCTTTGCCGCATGTATGTATTTTTTGTAATACTTTTTATTTAAATAATTTTATGTAATCTTATCAATATAATAGCCAAAGAATAATTCTTTATAATTTAGAGAAAGTTGAGTCATTTGTGAATGGAAACCAGGAACATTATGTGATGACTCTATTCTGCATAATGGAGAGGCCGGGAGTTGATGAGTCTAGGGGTGAGGGGAAGACTGTCACTTTAGTGGATGTCATTTCATTTGTGCTTTTCTTCCAAAATAAAACAAAATAACTTAAAAAATTCCATGTATTTATAGATCTGCAAGTACATTTTGAGGTTTCTGATAAAGCAACGAGTACTGCCAGTTCTGATGCATGTGAAGGATTTAGTTTGGAAAACATATATTTTCTCTTCCTACCAAATAAGAAAATACATTTTTCCCTTTTGACGAATACATGGGTAATCTGCCATAATTATATTATTTTCTTGTTCAGAGGTAAGGAAAGTATACTTACACTGTATAAGACAAGCTTGCTTGTTTTTGAAAATGTATTCTTTTGTAAAATTTAGCATATAGCTGTTTTTGGACAGAAATGTCTTATTGTGGAATTGTGACATGTATGCTTTTTTGAAAGCATTTGAGAAGTTGTAGGCTTTAAAATTAAGGTATGTGTCCATTTTAGACTAAGTAAAACACCAGTGATGCTATGTTAAGGCTTTTCCTTTCTTTTAAAGCCATATTTTATCCTTTGTTATTAAATGTCCTCAATGCCATGAAATCAGGTATCTTGATTGCCAAATTGTGAAATATTCCATCCTTACAAATCTTTTTTACAAGAGTTTGAATGAAAATTTTTTTAAAAGAATAAATAATTTATTTTAAAAATGAAAAATAGTATTTTAATGTATAATCTGAATTATAGTATCATTGAAAAAAGATATATTTAAAAAATATCAACCCAACCTTTTCATTTTTAAATGATAGGTTAAAATACTCCATGTTGATAGCTGCCAACCAAACTCTGATTTATTGGTACCACAAACCCTAAATAGTGTTCATTTACTAGTAATGTCTAATGGCAGACGTGATGGTTTGCCAGATTTGTAGCCTTTGTGAGGCTTATAAGCAGGACCGACTTGGGAAGATCATAAAACTTAATGAACTTCTCTACTGCAGGAGGTGTCCGCAGGGGAAGAGAAGGCCTGACTGCTTGGCTGGTTGGGCTGGTTGAAGTATTTTTTATGTTTAAGGAGAAGAAAATTACTATTAAAAAGGATTAGCTTGTAGAGGACTCCTCCCTAAAAAAAGTCATAAGAATTTTAGATAATAAAGCTAAGTCGTGAATGTAGCTTACAGGTGAGTTTTTATATGTACTTGGTATATGATGTGAGATTAGACCTTTATTGCTATGTGACTAGCTTTCAGAGGGACAGGCCAATTTCAGTCAACACCTCTGTGTACCTAATTCTGACCGTACAGGTTTAAAGAGAATCACTGTTCTTTATTTGGTTTTTTATTTAAACCTTCCATGTAAAAATTGGTTACATTTTTCTTTGTATAGTGCTGTGTGATTATTTTAATTCTCAATGTATAAAAACCAAATCTGTCAAGTGAAAAGTTATCAAGGAAAATGAGTTATTATACAGGAGTCTAGATATTACTGTATTTATTATTGCATTTTCTAGGTTGAGCTTATACCATGTCTAGTATAATTATTTGTTCCAAAGTTTTGAAAATGCCACATGCCATACTTAATCCATATTTCTGTTTTAAGAGCCTACTTTCTATAGTTTAGAAAAACTTTATTATGGACAACTTCTAAAATAAATGCAGGTAGAAAAAAAGAAAGAATTTTTGAACCCTTCCACGTGAACTTACTGCTCACCTTCAACAATAGCAACAATTGGTTGATCTTCTTTTCCTCTGTTCTTACGTTCAGTTACTGGGCAGCAAAATTTGAGGATTTTTAATGTTTCAAAATTTATCTCAATTTTAGACTGACATTATGATCTATTTACTTGGGGAATACTTAAAAATATAGTCAGTGTATCTTGAAAGTGTCATAAATTATATTGTTTTATCAATGTGTTTTCCTTAAAGCAATTTAAGAATGTTGTCTTTTTAAAATTTTTATGGATTTATATAGCTACTGGAGCTTTTGTACATTTTGAGGCAGGATATGTTTTTTTTCTTTTCTCCTCGTCTTTGAAAAATCATACACACATTCTGTTCATAGAAACCATAGGAAAAATTTCTTTGCCAAACTGGTTTTATACTTTTATACTTCATGATAAAAGTATCACAGAGATGTCATCTTTAAAACGTAGGACTGTTTTTCCAACACTGTTCCTTTTTCTTCTTCCCCACAAAAAGATAACTGTCAATACTAACTTGATCTTTTATGCCTCAGTTTTTTTAGTGAGCCTCATTTAATTACAGAATTGTAGAGTTTTGGTACTTTATGTTGGATTTTACTATGATATTTTAGCATATTGCTGCTGAAGCAAGTGCATACAACAATGGTTTATTTATATAACTTTATTCTGAATGGGAGGTATATTAGTGCACTGGCAAAGCAGGGCCCATGTTGCCCCTAATAACACAGGTTGAGAGCTTTTATAAAATACACCTGTGCACATTTTTCATCCTATGATACTTT